AAGGCCCTGACACACCAGGCCGAAATTGGCCGTTTTCGTTAGTCGGACGACGAAGCGTGCCCTGTCGCCCAAACTCAATTTGGGCGCCGGCCACAGGCAGTCGGACAAAAAAATCACTCTGATTGGCTGTTCAGCTAGCGAATCAGTGCATGAGAAGCGAAACCGTTGCTTGCAACACTCCTATGGCTGATAGCTCCAGTACCGCACGAAACATGTTTTCGATGGACAAGAGTGAAAATGGAACGCACACGCTATTGTTTGTTTAGATCACGCAGTCTGTTCTTCTTCTCTGTCTTCTGGTTGTTTCCTCTTTTGAATGACGAATACACACTACCGCCGCCTGCTGGTAAGGAGAGTTATGGCCACTCACGCATGCGCAGTTCGTACGTACTCGGCTGAAGTCTTTGCGATGTGTTCCAGTGCGACACATGGCCAAGACGCAGGAGAACACGCCGACGCAACAGTCAGCGTCGGCATCGGCGAGCTCTCTGGTGACTGCTTGGTGTGTCAGGGCCTTTAGACTTTCATCGACATAACTAAACTGTAGCTATGCACACATGACAATAAAAGCCTTGAAAAAGTAGGCCAATGCAAACAAGAAATTAAACACATTTTCACAAAACTTTTCCCGTTTCTTGTGCTGTCCTTCCTTCAGATGTTGAGTGGTTTGGCATCGAACACAGGACTTTTTCTGGAGTAATCATAAGCTTGGATTGGACGATTGGAAATATTCTTCTGGTTGGCATTGCGTACTTTATAAAAGACTGGAGGATGCTCATCTTGGCAGTGACTTCTCCCTTGATACTCGCCCTGATTGCTTGGAGGTATTAGAGCTTCATATCTTACTGAAACTGAATCCTATGAGCAGTCATGGAGACATTTAACGCACCATGCTTGTGTTTTACAGATGGCTTCCAGAGTCTGCCAGGTGGCTGCTGGCAAACGGGAAGGCGGACGCCGCTCATTATTACGTAACGCAATGTGCCAAGACTAACAACAGAACCAAGGTCATGGCCACCGTCACATCTGCGGTACGTTGATCTTCTTTGTTGTCATTTGTGTCTCTTTGTGGTCATTGTGTCTGTCTTTGTATAATTCTGTCCCCTTTTAAAGTAATTCTGTGTCTCTTTGTACCCAATTTACTGCCTCTTTACGGTTATTGTCTCTTTGCAATATATTTTAGTCTATGTATCATTGTGTGGTTCTTGGTAACCTTTTGTTTCTCTTGGTATCCGTCTACAAACGTTAAATGAAAATGTCAGAATAAGAGAAAACACTGTAAATTAACAGCTTGTGTTTGTTTGCTTTCTCACAGGATTTACTGCAATCTGCTCAAGTTGAAAACAGAGAAAATAAATACAGCATTGTGGATCTTTTCAAGACCCCAAATATCCGGAAACTCTCCATATGCTTAGGAATAGTATGGTGAGTGTCAATGTCAAGATGTTGGGGAAGCCATTTGGGAAGTATTATAATCTGCTTTTGTTCTGAGAGTTAAAGAAGAAGATCAATACCCAGACAGCAATAAGCTGAAAGAAGGGGAAACGAGCTAGCCTGATTCTGTCCAAAGTAAAAAAAGATTTAACAAAATGTGGCTTTGACATTTCTGATTGTGTATGATATACAAAAGCCAGATAAAACATGTTGAGCCTTGGAGGTGTCGGCAGGTGGATTTTGAGCTTGTGGCAGAGCCAGGTTAGCTGTTACTTTTATTTATTGTTTATGCGCTAAGCTAAGCCTGGCTTTTAAATTGATTTAACGATCAGAAAGAAAGCAAATAACAGACTATTTCATATTATGTGCAATATGGTTTATGATGATTGATGATACTGAAAGCACTGAACTAATCAAGCTGAGGTTCAATTTGAAAAGAAAGTCTCATTACTTTGTTCCATTTTTCTAGGTATGGAGTTGCCTTCACATACTACGGGATAAGTCTGAATATCACTGGGTTCGGACTAAACCCATATCTCACACAATTCATATTTGCATCCATCGAAATGCCCATGAAGATCGGTGTGTATTTCTACCTGGAGAAAATTGGCCGAAGGTCCGGTGAGGTGGGAGCCCTGCTGACGACGGGGCTCTGCCTCTTCATCAACTTATTCGTTACACAAGGTAATTCTTGTCAACGTATCTGAGGATTATCTTTGACAGATATCTGAACTAGGGGCTGTTAACGCTCAAGATACATCTGGAAGCCTTAAAGCATTAGAAAAAATGAATGCAAATGAATCGCATTACCAAGTTTGACCCGAGAGCCTGGGACCTAAGATCTTCATCGACATAACTACACTGTAGCTATGTACGAATGACAATACAAGCCTTGAATCTTGAGCCGCTCCTGTACTTCCACTGCGGAGATGTTCAGCATGATTTGCATGGCAGTGAAAAGGCAAGGAAAGCAGAGGAATTAGCTCAAGCTACATGTTTTGTATAAACCGTTGAACCATCACTGTCTCTGTGTCACGGCACAACTGATGCATGACAAATTTGGGTTTTAAACGTTTTGAAGCCACAGGAGGTTAGGTGACGGTGTGACAAAAACGTATGACTTAGAACTTCGGCTGACTTTCCAGAAAAAACTAATAAATCATAAATCCAAATATCACTTTTGTGATCAGGCAATCGCCGAAAGTACGATGAGAGAAATAATGAGCTGAATGTTGCGCCATCAATACTTTAAACAATGTGCCAAATAATGAGATCTACTCATGCGCTTAATTCTGTGTCTAAATCGAAATACTGAAGGCCATCCACTATCAAACCCAAAAACAGATAAGCGTCTGTATTAAATCACAAGAATCTCTTAACAGTGCTTAAAATATTAGTTACAAATAACGCTATAACTCAAATATGTCATATGTCCATAAATCAGCTGTTAATGGCTCCAACAATCGACCTTTAGGTGTGGTGAATGACTTCTTTCATTCACCCCCCCCCCCAAATATCCCAATATACAAGTTAATAAAAACCTTGTGATTAATCATGATCATTCACAGATTTTATGTTTTGATATTTCCCCTCAGATAAGTGGATCGTTCGTACTGTGGTGGCCGTCCTGGGTAAATCGTTGTCTGAAGCCTCGTTCACCATTCTGTTCCTCTACACAACTGAACTCTTCCCTACAGTCGTACGGTGAGAACAAATCCTTTTTCTTATTCTACTAGTTGAATATTAACAACACAGACATTTAATGAAACAGACAATCAAACAAAATGAGTAGAAGCGGGAAGGCAGAAAGCTTATAAAGAAAATAGGGACCCGATTATTATGGCATTTTAACTGCAAACCTCGGATGTAGGTTTCCATGTTTGTATGTATATAAATACACACAGAAATAAACAATTCTATATATATATACACACGTACACATATACATACACCCATTTCCTGTTGCGAACTTCAGACACGAGGCAGTTGCACTCAAATGCACGACTCCAGGAGGTAAAGACATACTCTAATTAAAAAAAAATGCAAAGAAAATCTCAGGATAAGTAAACGCACAAAAAACAACACTCCTCATGAGGTGAGAAAATACTTGATGTATGAAAACAACTGCTGACTACTGACACTTTGTGATGTCATAATGTTTTTTTGGTTGTGTAACCATTAGCCAATCACCAACCAAGGTACCCCCCCCCCACCTTATCACCTGAATCTCCTCCTAGAGCAGGGGTTCCCAAAGTG